TTCCCTGGTGGCCAGGAGTTGACTTCGGTGCTTTCACTGTTGTGACCAGGGATTAGGTCCCTGGTTGGGGAACTGAGAGCCCACGTCTCGTGGCGTGGCCAAAAAAAAAAAAAAAGAAAAAGAAATGGGCAGAGGTCATGAACACACACTTCACCAAACAGGACATACAGAGGGCAAACAAATATATGACAGGATGTTCAGTGTCGTTAGCCATTAGGGAAATGCAAGTGAAATCATAATGAGATATGACTACATCCCGATCAGAGTGGCTAAAATAAAAAGAGTCACAATATCAAATATTGATGAGGATGTGGAGAAACTAGGTCAATCACTCATATATTGTTTGTGGGAATGTAAAATGGTATAACCACTCGAGATAGTTTGGAAATTTCTTTAAAAATTGAAGATGTGGTCTTCCTTGGTGACGCAGTAGTAAAGAATCTGCCTGCCAATGTGGGAGACATGAGTTCAATCCCTGATCCTAGAGGATCCCAGTGCGGTGGAGCAGCTAAGCTGGAGCTCCACATCTATTGAGTCTGTGCTGTGGATCCTGGCAGCCTGCATACCGCACCTTCTGAAGCCCGTGCTCAGGGACAGAGAAGCCACTGCAACAAGAAGCCCCCACTTGCCACAACTGGAGAGGGCCCAGGCACAACAATGAAGACCCAGCACAGCCAAAAATAAATAAGATTGTAACCCCCCCAAAAATAAAATTTAAAAATGCAACTACCATATGATTCAGCAATTGCACTCCTGGGCATTTTTTTTTTTAAACTGGAGAAATGGTAAGAACTCAAACTGGAAACAATCCATACCATTCTTCAACATGTGAATGGTTAACCAAAGTACAGTACATCCATACCATAGAATATACTGTGGTATTCACACTGCATACTATGGTATACATGTATCCCAGAGAGCTTAAAACTTATGTTCAGACTAAAACCTGTATATAAACGTTTATAACAGCTTATCTCTAATACCCCAAACTAAAATTAGCCTAGCTGTCATTCAACAGGAGAATGGTTAAACTAAGTGCAGTACAAACCATTGATTACTATTTAGCTGTGAAAGGAACAAACTACTAATATACACAGTAACTTGGGAGAATCTCCATGAAATCATGCTAAATGAAAAAAATCCATTTGTAAAGTCTTCATGTATTACTATTTCATTATGTGACATTTGTAAATAAATAAGGGTAAAACTAGGGACATCTGAAAAAGAGCTATGGGTTGTGTCAAGGTCAATATCTTGGTTGATTGAAAGCAGAGAGTCAAACAGATACTTGTACACTTGTGTTCAGAGCAACGTTTTTCACAATAGCCAAAAGGAGGAAATAATTCAAGTATCTATCAAGACGAATAAAGTGCTATACTATCCAATGGAATATTATTCAGTCTTAAAGAGAAATGAAATTCTGATATATGCTACCATATGGATGAACCCTGAAAACATTATGCTAAGTGAAATAAGCCAGTCACAAAAGGACAAATATTGTATGAGTCCACTTACACGACGCAAATCTACGGAGGCAGGAAATAGGACAATGATTACTATGCGCTGTGGGACAGGGGGGAAAGGGAGTTATTATTTAATGGGTTCAAAGATTTTGTCTGAAAAAAAAAAAAAAGATTTTGTCTGGGATGACAAAAATGTTCCAGAAACAGGTGGTGGTGATGGTTGTACAAAAATGTGAATGTACTTAATGCCAGTGACTTGTACACCTAAAAATGGTTAAAAGGGTACAGTATATTTTGGGCTTCCCTGGTAGCTCAGACAGTAAAGAATTTGTCTGCAGTGCAGGAGACCCGGGTTCAATGCCTGGGTCAGGAAGATCCCCTGGAGAAGGGAATGGCAATCCACTCCAGTACTCTGGCCTGGAGAATTCCATGGACAGAGGAGCCTGGCAAGCTACAGTCCATGGGGGTCACAAAGAGTCAGACACGACTGAGTGACTATCACTTTCACTTTATGTAATTCTCCAGGCCAGAATACTGAAGTGGGTACCTTTCCCTTCTCCAAGGGATCTTCCCAACCCAGGTCTCCTGAAATGCTGAGTCACAGCTGAGTCACAGGGAAGCGCCTTTATGTATATATTACCACCCCCCAAAAAAAAAAAAAATGTAGAAAAAATCCTGGTTGTGAGATTGTCTTTTAGTTTGTAATTAATTATTTTCGGTTGCCCTGGGTTTTTGTTACTGCGTGCAGGCTTTCTCTAGGTGCGGTGATCGGTAGTAGCTACTCATCCTTGTGGTGCCTGGGCTTCTCACTGGGATGGCTCCTCTTGTTGCAGAGCACAGTTCTCTAGAGCTCAGGCTCAGTAACTGGCATGTGGGCTTAGTTGCTGCATGTGAGATCTTCCTGGATCAGGGATCGAACCTGTGTCCGCTGCATTGACAGGTGGATTCTTAACCACTGGACCACCAGGGAAGTTTCATATTGTATTATAGTTTTCCATATGTCCAGAGATATACATAGCTTAGGAGTATGGAGTAAGAAGAGGGAGTCAGAAGTTCTGGGGACAGATGATACAATCTAAAAACAAACTGGTCTTGGAATGGGAGAGAAAGCAGAAAAGTGGCAGACCCCTTCCCAAGTCACCTGATGCTCTGCAGAGGAAGGATGTCTGTGGGCTGGATGTTACTGCCCTCTCTTTCCCCCCCACCACAGCAAAGCATCAGGCACTTCAGGGAACCCTCGAGGTCTCTGTAAGAACATTCTGGGTGCACTGGGCTGGGTCAACCTTGGTTTCAGTTCTCCACGGATGGGAACTTGCAGTGCTTAGGAGGCTCTTCAAGACCCGGCTGTCCCTACCTCACCATGACTGAGCACTTTCACGCCAGCTTCTCCCTCCTGCCCCACCCCCATTGTGCATCAGCCTTGCTGGCCTTCTGACCCCAACCTGCAATGCTCAGTCTTTGCACTTGCCATTCCTTCTGGCTTGCTATTCCCACAGCTCTTCACAGGTCTGACTCCTGATCATTCAGATCCCAGCTCAGCTGAGACATGAGAGAGACCCCCTCTTAAGCCTCCACCCATGAATCCCTTTCTGCCCATGACTTGGCCATAATTGTTTTCATAAAAATATCTGAAATTTCACATAAGAAATGGTCTTTTATGTTTGCTGTCTGTCTCCTCATGCTATCTGCAAGTGCCGTGAGGACAGAAGCTTGGTCTTGTCCCTGCTGATCTCCGAGTGTTCAGAACACTCCTGGCGCATGGAAGGAACCCAGTATTCACTGAGCTGATTGCCTGACTGAACAAAAAGACCTCATCCTCCTCAGCTGTTGCTATCCAGGCTGGTAGCCGCTAGCCACATGTGGCTATTTAAATGGAAATTAATTAAAATTAAAGTAGAACTTCAGGTCCTCAGTCATATTAATCACATTTCTAGTACTCAGTGGCCACATGTAACTTGTGGCTACCATACTGGACATTGCAGATAGAGAACATTTCCATCATTACAGTCTTGTAGATATTGGCCCCTCTTGTCCACTGGAGTGCAAAGCTCTGGGACCCTTGTCTCTTAGCTGGTGGGAGGAATGAACAGATGGAAGGATGGAGTCTACATACCAATTACCAGCTGCCACATTGGGGGTGGCCCCCTATTTATTACTGAGCTGTATTGGGCAGAAACAAGCCACTGGCCAGAACTGTCATTAACTGAGAAGCCTAAAGGAGGTGATGATCACCTGCCTATCCTTTGTAACTGGGGACCCTCCATGCAGTTTGGGGGTTCCTGTGTATAGTAGAGACTGGGAGGAAGAAGGTAAGCTGGTGGCATGGGGAGGGAGGGAGGGTTGGAAAGCTTCCGGAGTGTTGTTGAGCAAGGGTACTGGTGAACACACTGACTTCTTTTTTTCTTTGATGGTAGCTGGCAATTATGCTGAACGGGCTCTATTAATTATTCTGTTTGCCAAAAGCCCCGCCCCTCTGTCATGACTAACCTAGGGACTAAAAATGTGGGGTTTTTCTTATTTTGTTTACTTCGTTGCACCAGGTCTTAGTTGCAGCCTGTGGGATCTTTATTTGCAGCATGCAAATCATTAATTGGGTTAGGGTTGGGGGAATCTTAAGGGCTTCCCTGGAGGCTAAGTGGTAAAGAATATCCCTCTACCAATGCAGGAGCCCCAGATGCTGATTATATCCCTGGGTTGGGAAGATCCCCTGGTGAAGGGAGTGGCAACCGGCTCCAGTATTCTTGCCTGAAAAATTCCATGGACAGAGGAGCCTGGTACTCCATGAGATGGCAAAGATTTGCAGTTGAAGTGTCCCACATGACTGAGCTAGATTGAACAGAGATGCACAGAGTGGGATCTAGTTCCCTCGGCAGGGATCCAACCCGACCTCCTGCAACGGGAGCTCGGAATCTTAGTCAAAGGGCCACCAGAGAAGTTCCCAAAATGTCCGTTTTGGGATCCAACGTCCAGGTTTGAATCCTATTTCCCACGTGTTAACTCTATTAACATTTTCGTGCCTCTGTTTTCTTATTTGTAAAATAGGGACGGTGGTGGTATAGTCGCTTAGTCGTGTCGGACTTTTGCGATCCCGTGGACTGTAGTCCGCCAGGCTCGCCTGTCCATCGAATTCTCCAGGCAAGAATACTAAAGTGGGTTGACACTTCCTTCTCCAGGGGATCTTCCCGACCCAGGGATTGAACCTGGGTCTCCTGCATTGCAGGCAGATTCTTTAGTGACTGAGCCCCCAGGGAAGCCCAAAATAGGGATATTGATCATAATAAAATCTAGGAAGAAGGGCGGAAAATCGCTCGACAAACCCTGTTCACGTTTCCTATGTTTAGCCCCAGACGCTGGCCAGAGAAGGATCCAGGTCACAGCAGAGGCTGGGGAGCGCCCCGTTTATTCCCATTAAAACCGCAGGCAGGAAATCGCGCCTCCGGGGTGCGTCCCGCAGGCATCCCGTCCCAGCCCAGCCCTGACGCCCCCGCTTCCCGTCCAGTCCCCGCCAGGGAGGCCCCGGGCCGCCTTGCTGCCCGCCTAGGCCTCGCTGCGCTCCGGCTCCAGCTCGCGGAAGGGGCTGGGCCGGTTGGAGGAGCGCAACGCTGGGGTGGGCGGGCGTCTCTTGGCGAAGGGGCCGAAGTACTCGGCGGCGAAGGTGACCACGTCCACCGGCTGGCGCAGCAGCAGGAAGAGCAGGAAGTCGGAGATGAGCGCCTGGGCCTCGGGGTGCTGCCGTAGATAGCTCTTGTGGCTGAGACGGAGCTCCTCCTGGTGGTGCTGTGGCGAGGCTGAGCCGAACCCGGACTCCCGCTCCCCAGGGGCGCACCCCCCTCCTCGGACCCATGGAGGGATTAGGAACGCTGGGGTCCCCAACCCCTCGGGGTGCAGTATTTCAGCCGAGTAGGAAAAGTGATGACAAAGGGTGGAATATATGCCCAGGGCGGGGGTAGGGGGTTAAGGGTGTTGGGAGGGGTGGGGACCTCAGGCTGCCTGCAGCCTCTCCTCACCTTGCGGTCCAGGAACCGCGAGTAGAGCTCCAGGTCCTCCTCCCACACCAGGGGCTTCTTCTTAAATACTGGGCGAGGCTCAATATCATCTGAAGGAGTCCGGTGGGAGGAAGGCGGTGGTGGTTTAGCCGCTAAGTCGTATCCGACTCTTTGCGACTCCCATGGACTGTAGCCCGCCAGGTTCCTCTGTCCATGGGATTCTCCAGGCAAGAATAATGAAGTGGGTTGCCATTCCCTTCTCCAGGCGATCATCCTGACCCAGGGACAGAACCTGGGTTTCCTGCGTTGCAGGAAGATTCTTTACCGCGACTGAGCCACCACGGAAGCCCCTGGGTGGGAGGAAGGCTGCGTGCCCATTACGACCCCAGGAACCTTCCTCAGATATAGAGGGATGACTGGACGACACCTGTTCTAGGCAGGCTCGGAAAACCCCAGGGTTCTGGCTGCCCATATGGGCAGAGTTCCCAGCAAAGTTATCCTCTTCTAATTAGGGACAGGGACTGGAAAACAAGGGCTTCCCCGGTGGCTCAGATGGTAAAGAATCCTCCTGTAATGCAGGAGACCTGAGCTCCATCCCTGGGTCGAGAAGATCCCCTGGAGAAGGAAATGGCAACTCACTCCAGTGTTCTTGCCTGGAGAATCCCCATGGACAGAGGAGCCTGGCGGGCAACAATCCGTAGGGTCACAAAGAGGCGGACATGACTGAGCGACTAAGCACTTACTGGAAAGCAAAGCCTCTCCGTCTCATTTGGCCTCCCACCTCAGAGGTGGCCCACTCAAGGCAGCCCCTGCACCCTGGGAGGCTCGGCGGCTTCACTCACCCTCTTCCCTCAATACGGGCACCTTGGTGATCATGCAGCACCCCGGGGAGCCCACCTGGATCCTCTTGGCCAGGTGCCTGGAGTGCAACACGGATAAGGTGTGAGTCTTCCTAGACCAGCCGGCTCCTTTGAAGGGTGTCCTGGGGCCTCGGTTTACTGCTGTCCTCTCCCCCTCCCCCACTTGTCTTTGAGTTCCAGGGTGCTGTTCATGTCTAGATCCCCAGATGATGGCCCCTGCTTTTCAAACTGGGGACTGTGTCTACCCTGAAGATGTGTGCACATATGCAAGACCTTTATAGGTGTGAGCGCTAGAAGAACCATGAAAGAGTTCCCTGGCACGCCAGTGGGACTCCACACTTTCACTGCCAAGGGCCTGGGTTCAGTCCCTGGTTGGGGAACTAAGATCCCGCAAGCCATGAAGTGCAGCCAAAAAAAAAAAAAAGAAAGAAAGAAAGAAATGGCAAGCCAAATTATGAAATCAGGAAAGCCAACAAAGTTCTAATTTGTTTGTTTGTTTGCTTTTCCCAGTGTGGTGATTCTGTCAGTACCTCTGTGGAAATTTCAAGAAACAAATGCTCCTCTCCCTTCCAAATTTTCTCAGGATTTTGGTGCCTGCGCTTTGCTGGTGACAGCTTGGCAGTGTATTAAGATGCTTCTTCCAACCTGATGATCTTATCAAGTGCTGAGTTGTTCAAACTTTTGTGTTTTTCGATATTACACCCACACCTATGGCAGCTGCTTTAGCTATGCCCTGTGGAGTTGATCTTGACTTCCTCAGCAGTTCAGGGCTCTTTGGTGAGATTTGGGAGGCATTGTGAAGATCGGGAAAATGATATATTTTCCCGTGAATATATGGAAAAAGTGAATGAATGGGTAAAGCCAGGGGCACTCGGATCTCAACAACAAGTCTCCCACCCAGGTGGTTGAGCTTCCCATGTTTGTGCTCAGTACTGCCCCCTTGGCCTCACCAACAGTGGCTCACCCATCAGGGAGCAGGTAAAACTGGCAGGACGTGGGGATGCCTTGTTCCGAGTGTACCGTCTGCTCCACAATGAAGACTTCCACCTGCTGATGGCCCACCTGGATTGTCTGGGAGCCCAGGGCTTGCTGGCAGCAACCGAAATGAAGGGAGGGAGGTGAGGCAGATGCCTACCAGGACCTCCCCCTACATCTCACCCTGCCCCTCTCTCCATCTTGTAGCTTCATTGCTTGTTCACCGGTGATAAGCAACCCTGGCTGTCCAGACCCTTAGGCTCCACAAGATTTGGGTTGCACCCCCGGGTTGAGTTGAGGTCCTCTCATAGAGAGCCAGCTCCACCCTGCTCCTGCCTCAACCCTCCTCCATGCCAGCTCCATGACCAACTGCTTCTAGCTGGCAGATTCTATAACACAGATCACCAACTAGGAGTGAGTGTGGGAAGGGGCAGGGGTTGGGTTACTTGCAGGGAGAGGGTAGTGAGGCTCTGGAGAGGGACTTTTTTATTATTCAGTTTCTAAGTCGTGTCTGATGCTTTGCAACCTTATGGACTGCAGCACTCCAGGCTTCCCTGTCCTTCAGTATCTCCCAGAGTTTGCTCAAACTCATGTCCATCTAATCAGTGATGCCATCCAACCATCTCATTCTCTGTTGCCCCCTTCTCCTCCTGCCTTCAATCTTTCCCAGCATCAGGGTCTTTTCCAATGTATTGGAGTTTCTTCGCATCAGATGGCCAAGGTATTGGAGCTTCAGCTTCAGCAGCAGTCCTTCCAATGTATATATGCAAACTAGTACAGCCATGCAAACTAGCACAGCCAATGTATATTCAGGATTGGTTTCCTTTAGGTTTGACTGGTTTGATCACCTTGCTATCCAAGGGACTCTCAAGAGTTTCTCTAGCACCACAATTCGAAAGTGTCAATTCTTCAGTGCTCACCCTTCTTTATGGTCCAACTCACATCTGTACATGACTACTGGAAAATCCACAGCTTTAACTATACGGAGATTTGGTGGCCAAGTGATATCTCTGCTTTTTAATATGTTGTCTAGGTTTGTCATAGCTTTTCTTCCAAGGGGCAAGAATTGAGACTGAGATTTGGGGCTGTCACAGGCCCGTGCAAGCTACGTGTTATAATTAAAACTTAAATCCCTATTACAGCTATGGCTGCGAGGAGAAAAGTGCTAACATAAAAATATTTCAGAGAAAATTGGGGGCAAATGGTGTGTGCCTGTTTGTGTCAAACTCCTTGCTGTTTGTCATGTTTGTGGCAGAAGAGACGCCAGTGTCATTTACAAAGCTGGTCAAATCAGCCCCCAAAGTGCATGTCCTCAGACACAGTTTCAAAATCACATATTGTAAGAAGTCCTAGGTAGGTTGGTGATGAAAGTTTAGCCAAAATAAAGAAGCACCCTTCAGGGTTGAGACATAATAAAATAAAATTCAAGTGAAGTTGGAGATTTAAATTTCCTGATGTTTAAAAAAAGTCTCTAAAAATGGCCCCACACTGTTTTTTTTTTTTTTTCCTGAACTGACTTTTGTGTAAAAAGCATCGCTTTCTTCCATTGCTCCCACCTTTTTAGTCCCTATCTTCCTCACACCACTTGCCTTGGTCTTCTCTCTGAGAAACGCAATCTTGTTTTCTCCTGCCCTTGGAAGTTTCACCCCCACACTCCGGGGGTTTATCCCCACCCCATCCGCTCTTCCACTCCACAGCTGTCTTTTCTCCCAAATCAGCATCCTCTCTGCCCCTTCTAGCTTGCCTACAGACCAAGTCCCCACCCAGGGAGATGGCTCACGTAAGTAGAATAGCAGAGTTTGCCTTCAGTGTCCAAGGCCAGGAAACGGGCATTGCTGGGCACCATATGCCGCCAGGCCATCACCCTCAGCAGCACCAGGTTAGCGGCCTGGGAGACGAAGCCCTCAGTGGAGGGCCTGGGGAAGAAAGTCACTTCAGTCTTCACTTCCTGTTCAGGACAAATCTGGGTCAGGGAACTTCAGCTGGGAAGTAGGGGGAGGTTGGGCAAGTCAGGTGTTGAGCATACGGTCCAGTCCATATGGCCCCCAGGGCAGGCTCCTGGCCTGACCCCATCTGTCCCCTGTTTGTGGTTCCAAAGAGGATGTTGAGTATGGCTCCCACCTGGCTCTCCCCTTACCTCACCCTCCTTGACCATTCTGGTCATGGCCAGCTGATCATCCTGCTTCAGCAAACTCGTCTTCTGTTCCATGGGGAGAATGTGGAACTAGGGGCCAGAGCAGGAGGGGAGAATCAGGGACTCACCGATTGTATATGAGTGAGATCCCCCGGAGGCCACCTTGTCCGTCCTCCATAAATGAGAAAACCGAGGAGAGATGTGGATAGAAAACCTTCTCTCTGTGGTCAAGGCTGGGGGCCCAGGAGGTACCTTGATGAACTCCTGACTCTGTTGTTTCACAACTTCCAGTTTCCACGAGAGATAGGCTGAGGGGAGGGAGGTGAACACAGGAGACAGGGCTGGAGACTGTGGGAAGGGCGGGTGGTGGCCTGGGCTGGAGGACTCAGGGGTAGGGTGGCCACAGGTCAAAACTACGGCTGCGATTATCTTCTTGTCACCACACATCCCACGCTTTCTCTTTGCCTCGTTCTAGTCCCAAGGTGAAATTAAAGGGTTGCTACTGAGTGAACGTCCTGGGAGTTAGGGGCTGGGAGTGGGGGCCAGGGTAGGACGGTAGGGGTTGGGGGGGGGTTGGTCAGGAACTCTACCCAGAAGGGAGCTTCCACAGAGTGTTTTGTCCACGAAGCCTCGGCTGGAGGCATGCACGAAGGGGACGTACGTTATGACACCAAATTGGTCTTTGTATTGCCCTCTCTGCACCTCAATGGTCAGCTCTCCCTGAGGCTCCCCTGTGTCGGAGACCATGACCAGAGTCTCTGAGAAGAACAGCAGCATCAGCTCCTCCTGCCCTGCGGAGTGAGGGTCCCGTGGGAACAGTTAAAGCCCCAGCTCCTAGTCCTCAACTCTCTGACCCCCCCTGGCCACCAGTACCCCCACTGTCTCCACCCACCCTCTCCTCATCTCACGTCTCCCAGGCAGCCCCCGCCTCCCCTCCACTGGTCTCTGCAGCAGTCAGAGGTGGAGACAGCCCCCCCACACACAGCGATCCCCACCCCCACTGTATCCCTGGGGTCTTCCATTAGTTGAAGACTATCAACCATTACGCTTCAGGCCCTTTCTGAGTCCCAGGATATTCAAGGCTGCTAGAGAGGTGGCCATGTCTGGGCTTTCTCTCTTCCCTCCGGTCCACAGTTTTGTCCACCCCCTCCACCCTCACTGCCCAGGCTCACGGAGGGAGTTGAGGAAGTGGATGGCCTCAGCATTGGCTTCTGGGGGTGGCAGATTCTCCTGTGTTGAGGGTTGGGGGTCCTTGGCTTTGGAGCCTATGGAGGGAGGAGAGACTGAGATGGCAGATGGCGGACCCTGAGGAGGACAGCGATGGGGTGGGAGTCCTGAGAGTAGAATCCTCCAAGGCCACCCCAAGGTGGACGATGAGGGAGAGATGCCCCCCTCACTTTCCAGGCCCCCACCCCTCAACTCCTCAGCCCCCTTCTCACCTTTGGATTGAACTTTAGGGGACATGCTGCCCGCTGCTACCAGGTTTGTATCCAGATGTCTCCGTGGCAACTGGGAGCTCCCTACTGCCTCTTAAAGGGCCATCAACTCATTTCACTAAACACCCAGACCTTCGAGTAGTTGGTTGGAACTATGACTTCTGGGGCTCAGCCCAAACTTGAGGTACTGCCCAGCAGAGGGAGTATTTGACATTCTTAGGTGGCAGAGGGGATGACATGAGTATTTACAATGACCTTGGAAGCTGTCCCATACAACTATACTTTGGAGTTCAATTCTTACTGGGATTTAAACCAATACTTTAAAAAAAGAAAAACTTTAAATTTTACTCTATTTATATGTTTACTTTTATTAGATTGCATTAAAAGTACTTGGGAAGCTGGTTTATCAATTTGTTAAAAAAAAATTAGAGAATTATTTTTCCTTTATTTTTCCCAGCGTTACCAAGATATGTTGTTCAGTGGCTCAGTTGTGTCTGACTCTTTGCAACCCTACAGACTGCAGCACACCAGACTTCCCTGTCCTTCACTGTCCTTTGAGTTGATGATGCCACTCAACCATCTCATCCTCTGTTGGCCCCTTCTCCTCCTGCCCTCCATCTTTCCCAGCATCAGGGTTTTTTCACATCAGGTGAAAAAAGCTCTTCACATCAGGTGGCTGAAGTATTGGAACTTCAGCTTCAGCAGCAGTCCTTCCAATGAATATTCAGGGTTGATTTCCTTTAGGATTGACTGGTTTGGTCTCCTTGCAGTCCAAGGGACTCTCAAGAGTCTTCTCCAGCACCATGTTTCGAAAGTATCAATTCTTTGATGCTCAGCTTTCCTTATGGTCCAACTCTCACATCCGTACATGACTACTGGAAAAACCATAGCTTTGACTAGATGGATCTTTGTTGGCAAAATGATGTCTCTGCTTTTTATAACTGGCATATGACAATCAAATGCTTTTAAAAAGGTAGTAGAATATATGGAATGAATAAATATGGCATAAACATCCTAAAGCAGTTTTAATTTTGTAAAGAGGACAGATTGTTCATTGAAGTCCCCTTAAAAGTTAATATTAGCTAGGACATCTTTGGTGGTATAGTGACTAGGAATCCAACGCATGGAACATGGATTTGATCCCTGGTCCAGGAAGATTCCACATGCTGAGGAGCAACTAAGCCCATACACCAGAAGTACTGAGCCCAAGCTCTAGAGCCCACGAGTTGCAACTGCTGATGCCTGAGCACCTAGAGCCTGTGCTCTGAGACAAAAGAAGCACTGCAATGAGAAGACCATGCACCACAACAAATAGCCACCGCTCACTGCAGCTAGAGAAAGCCTGAGCAGCAACAAAGACCCAGCATAGCCAAAAATAAATAATAAATAAATAAATTTAAAAAGCATTAGCTAGGTTTATAATTAGAATGACGTGACAAAATTGAACTTAGAAGTTTTAGAAATACTTATGTTTTAAAATTTGCATTTTAAAAAATCGAGCACTAATTTTTAAAAGCCCAAGTGAATTCTGAATAAGTCATCCTCTGCACGTGAGCCACCACCAGTGGCATTAAGAAAATTCACAGCTGCTTTGGGAAGTGACTAGTTAGTTCCTCAAAATAATAAATGTGAAGTTACTATATGACAATTCCACTCTGAGATGTATACCCAAGAGAGCTGAAAACATCTGTCCACATAAAAACTTACACACAGATATTCATAGCATCATTATGCAGAATACACAAAAAGTGGAAACAACCCAACTGTTCATCAACTGGTGAATGCATAAACAAAATGTTATATATATATATATATATATATATAAAATGGGATATTGTCCAGCCATAAAAAGGAGTGAAGTACTGACACATGCCATAATATGCTTCAACCTTGAAAATATGTTAACTGAAAGAAGCCAGTCACAAAAGACAACATATTGTATGATTCTATGTAAAGGATTAAATGCCCAGAACAGGCAAATCTATAGAGACAGAAAATAAATCAGTGGTTGCTTGGCGTGGGGGAAGGGTGGGGGTGTGGAGGCAGCAGGCACCTGACACCAGAGGGTCACAGGGTTTCTTTGGGGAGTGTTGAAAATGTTCTAAAATTAGATTGTGGGTAGCTCCAAAACTGCGTATACATTAAAACCCACTGAACTGTATACTTTAAAAGGGTATCATTTGCATTATATAAATTGTATCTCAATAAAATTAATAAAAGTAGATTTAAAACAAACCTATTACTTTCATGTGTGAATTACATAAAGTTTGACAAAATCTTTTCTATTGGGCAAAGTTTACACAAAAAAAGAAGCAGCAGGGACTTCCACAACAGTCCAGTGGTTAAGACTCTGAGCTTCCACTTCAAGGGACATTGGTTCACTTCCTGGTCCAGGAACTAAGGTTCCACATGCCACGCAGCAAGGTCAAAAAAAGGGCAAACTGCTATTTTTTGTTCCTTAAGGGATGGTCACTGAACTGAACTGAACTGAACACAGTCCTCCTCCTCATTGCATGCCCGTATCCCTGCTTTTCTGGACTCCTGGCCTCAGGGAAAATTTGCTCCCTGAGCCCTCTACCCCTTAGAGTTTTTCCCCTGTCAGCCCTGCTCTCCTTCACCTCCTCTTGCTCAGGCTCTCCAGTTGCATAGAACCTCCAGATTCCTGTCCTGACAGGCTCCCGCCTCCTGGGAGCCCATGTTTTCAACTCTCTCACTTCCCCCAGTTCCCTTCCCCTTGGTGCTGTTTCCTCCCAGTCGCTTAGGGGAAAGAGAAAGTTGGCAAGGTGGATCACAGAAGGATCAACATCCAGTTTCTTGTCTATTTTTTTAGTCATCTGTTAAGGACCCTTGTTACCACTGCTGCTTAGGACCTGATAGACCAGTGGAAGGATGCTCTGGAGAAGTTGACGTACTAGCTGTGCAGTTGTGCTGGACTGGTTGGCCTCTCTGAGCCTGTAGCATGGACAGCCGGTGCCCTCCCAGTGGTTAGGGTGGGCATCTACTGAACAACAGCCACTGCTGCAGAGAGGGTGCCCTATGTGCCCAGCTCTGCAGGGTGTAACCTATTTAATCCTTCCAATCAGCTTCTCAGATGGTGTGAGCATCAACCCCATTGGACAGATGAGAAGTGGAGGCACAGAAGGTTAAGTAACTTGCCCAAGGTCACCCAGTTAATAAATGGAAGGCATGGACTCCAACCCAGATGGGCTGACTCGAGTCCGTGTTCTTAATCACTTTGCCCTATTGTCCTTGATAGACTGTGGGTGTGTGCTAAGTTGCTTCAGTAGTGTCCGACTCTGTGACCCCCCTGCCAGAGTACTCTTCCATGAGATTCTCCAGGCAAGAATACTGGAGTGACTTACCATGCCCTCCTCCAGGGGATCTTCCCCACCCAGGGATCGAACTTGCATCTGTTAGGTCTCCTGCATTGGCAGGCGGGTTCTTTACCACTAGCGTCACCTGGGAAGTCCTGTTGTCTCTGATAGACTAGCCCTAAGTTTATTAAGAACAGTAAGAGGAAGAAGAGACTACTGTTCATGGAACACCTATGTGCATCTCATTTGGCTGTCCAGCCACTCCAGAAGAGGCTAAGAGACAGAAGTTCCCTGTCTGGTGCTATCCACGGTTGGTCAGAATTTGTATTCAAACTCAGACCAGTCCAAGTCCTCTCTCTCCCACACTGTCCCTGCTTTGGCCCAAGCCTAGGGTCTACTGACCATCAGGGTTAGCTTTGCACCTGCTTCCAAATGTTCCATTTGTGGCCAGGGCCTTGGAAGACTAGGATGACCCCCTCCCCCAAGACACACAAGTGTACACACAGGGCTTTTCAAGTTCACATCTACAACTTATCCTGTTCTCTGTCCTTCCCTGGAACTTCTAAGGCTGCCCAGTTAACATGCCCCTCCCTTTTTCTTTTTCTATGATTTACAAAGAAAGAGACTACAATTTAGGGGGAAAAAGATGGAAGTGCTTACAGGTTATTTTTTAAATTATGCAGTATTCAAACACCTGTGAAGCCACGTGTCTACCTCTATTTCTTCTCATATAATGAATTACACCAGAAATCAGACACAGCATTTTCCAAAGTGACTTTATATGCCTTTCTCATCTAACTCTTCTAATAACCTCCAAATAAGTGGACTTGTTGGTGATTGTTTATGATTTTGCTGCTTTGCATCATTTCTGATATCAGACCCTCTATTCCTCTGAGGAACCCTTTCCCCACTCCCAGTACACTGTGTTTCAACTGAGTCTGACATTGCCTTTCCAGGTGTGGTCATGTCATTGAACCTGGCCAGTCAGAGAAGCTAATTCCCCTAACTCCTATGATAGGTTAGGATTGGGGACATGATCCAAACTGAACTAATGAAACTTAGTCCCTGGGACTATTAGAGGTTCTGCTATTAACTTGTAAACCTAGTTGATGAACTAGTAGCCTGCAAACCTGGAACTTCTAGAGAAAATCTTTCCATCACAGGGAAAAAGACTGATAGAGAATGGTATCAATGTAGAAGAAAGCAGAGCTGAATGACGAAGATGCCTTTGAATCCCTGGATCCAGCCATGCCTGAAGTTATCATGATGTAATCCCACACTTCTCAACTTCATGAGTTGATAAATTTCCCTTTTGGTTTGAATCCCTTTTTATTGAGCATTTGTCACTTGCACTTGAAAGTACATACACAGTAAAGATTCTGTCTCATTCAAAGTTGTCTCCATTGGAAGATGGACTGAGATGAAGGTCCTTGGATGCTGAGTGATAGAGCTGGGACTGGAAGTCAGATCTCTTAACACTAGCTGTCACTGGTGCTGTTCTGCAGACAAAGAGCAGGCGTCTGAGTTGTTGCTGGTCAGTGCTGGTTCCAGCTGAAGCACGTGCCGTCATTCGGGACGGGTGTCCCAGTGGGAGGGTTCACCAAGGCTGTGGGAAAATGCTTCACTAAGCCCTAGAGAACCGTCACCATCTGTCCCTCAAACTGGGCACACCCAGAGTGACCTGGCCCTGCGGCTTGGCCCATCAAGAGACAGTTACAGAGCAGAGACTCACCCTTCTTCAGGAAGGTGAGGACTACCGCTTCTTCCTTCAGTCCCACCCGGGTGCCACCCTGAGCCAGGATGGGGTCGGGAGCCTGTGCCAAGGTCCTTGGCTCAGGGAGAGGGACACCAAGACGGGAGGCCGAGCTGTTACCGGGGGTGCGAAGACTCTGACTTGGGTCCCAGGAAATGTGGAGCTAAGCCAGTGTTTCCCAGTCTTCAGCCACACCAAGGTCACCTTCAAGAATCCTGCTATAGCCAAGTGTCACCTTTATTTCATATTGTCCTCTTTCAACAATGCAAGCACACCTCTGAGATACTGCAGATTCAGCTCTAGACCACCAAAATAAAATGAATGTTGCAATAAAGAGTCACATAAGAAATGTTTTTTCCAGTGCACATAACAGTTATAACACTATGTGCTGTGCTTAGTCGCTCAGTCGTGTCCGACTCTTTGTGACCCCATGGACTGTGGCCCACCAGGCTCCTCTGACTATGGGGATTCTCCAGGAAAGAATACTGGAGTGGCTTGCCATGCCCTCCTTCAGGGGAATCTTCCCAACCCAGGGACTGAACAAAAGGTCTCCCTCATTGCAAGCGGATTCTTTACCATCTAAGCCACCAGGGAAGCCCATGTTACACTATACTGTAGTCTCTTAAGTGTGCAACAGCAGTATATCTGAAAAATGGTACATGCCTTAATTTAAAGTATAATTAATTTAAAAGATTTTATTGATCAAAATACTAACCATCATCTGACAATGCAGGGTTGTCACAAACCTTCAATTTGTAAAAAAAAAATGCAATTATCAGAAAAGCACCCTAAAGTGAAGCACAGTAAAATGAGATATGCCTGTACCTTTAATCACCTGCATGAATTGAAAACTGGTGTCACTTGTCAAAAATATTGACCATGAGGATAAATACAAGGAACACAAAATGAAGTTCTTAAAGTTCAACTCAAGATAGCTTCAGGGCTTGACAGCCGACCTGTTTAACAATTAACAGATGAGTCCGGCTGTTAATTGCAGAGGCCTTAAAGGGCCTTAAAGAGGGGTCAGCGCCAAGGCCTTGTCCTCGAAGCATATTCACGGCTGGGCGGTGACCATATGTAAAACCACTTCCCCTGCGGCTAGAGGTGCATCTGTGCATCTCAAGCTTTGGAAAACACCAAGGTAAGCAAATCATAAGCCCTGAACAAATTCTCAAGAGCCATGGAAGGATATATTTATAGCTTTGTTTTTGCCCAGAGTTCTAGAAGTGCAGTCCTTCTGAGTAAGCAAGAACTGTAACCCAGAGAGGAAAACAGAACCAGCAGTAAAGACAAGCCCACTGAGGGACCAAGCCTCAGTTAAATCATTCATTCATTCAACATTTATTGAGCGCCTACTGTGTGCCAGGCACCGTGCTAGGCGTGAAAATACAGAGATGCATAAGATACAGTCCATGCCCTGAAGGGTTCACAGTCGAGAAGGGGGAGACAAACGTGTAAACAAGTAAAATACAGTGTGATAAGTGCCACAAGAGAAGCATTGACAAAGAGCAGAGGTAGCCTGGAGGGGGAGGGGCATGGGAGGAGGAGGGGGGACTTCCTGGAGGAGGGGGACCTTGAGGGGGATTGGTGAGATGACTAGGTGTTTGCCAGGCAGACAAGGCAGGAGGGGCAGGAGGAGCAGGGGAAAGGCATTCCGTTCAGAAGAAACAGCAGGAGGGAAGGCACAGAGGCAGGTCTGGAGGATGGGGAACTCTGACTATTCTGGCGGTATTGCTAGAGTTGGTACCAGAGGCTGTGGCCCAAGAGGGAGGCAGAGGCAGGCTGATGAGGGGAACTGAGGGCAGGGGCATCTCGGGGGCTCCCCAGTGGGGAGCAGAGCCTGAGGGAAGGCTTCCACCCAGGAAGAGAAGGCTCCTGGCTGACCCCAGGTACGCCTGCTTGAGGACCATTGCTGTCCTCACTGTGGCCCCAAGGGGACCTGAATCCAAGGCCAGAGGAGGAGCTGAGCTGAGGGAGGGCTGAGCAGAGGGGAAGGGCCCAGACCAGGGGTCCTAGAAGCTGCCACTCACTCGAGAGCTGTCCACTCCTGGACTTCTGGTTTCTGCTCTCTACTGTGTAGACCTCCTGGCTCCTGCCAGGATGGGGCCAAGGGCCAAATGAGAAATGACAAGGTGATGTCCTTGGCCAACTGCAAAGGGCCAGATGAATGGCTTTACTAACTGAAAGGGGCAAGGGTTGAGGATGAAGCAGGAGTGTCTAAGAATAAGGGCCACAATGAGAAAACCACAGTGGACCTGGTGGACAATGGCTCTCTGGTCCCCCAGGAAGAAGGGGCCCTGCTGGCCCAGGGCAGGGGCAGAGGCCAGCAGGCAGGACCAGGCCAGCTGTGCAGTGAGCATGTGTGACCTACATGACCGTGGGGCCTCCAGTCCCAGCCTCCTGGTGTCTCCTTAGCCTGAGGTCAGGTTTCCTTGGCAACCGGGACTCTCCCGCTTCCAGGCTGCAGGGGAGTCACAAGGCAGATTGTCCACAGCCAGGCTTGCAGCCCTTTCCTCTTTCTCAGAAATGGCTCTGTTTAAAAAAAATGCCTTTGTGGGGGCGGGGGTGGCCTTGCTTTTGTGGGTGCCTTGCTCTTGTGCAAAAATGCCCGGGGGAGGAGGGGCAGAGGCTCAGAAAACCAGAGCCCAGGTGCCCCTCTGAGTGACTGCTTTTCCAAAGCACCTGACCTCAGGCCAGTCTGGGGGAGCGAGTTTCTTTCCCCACCACGGATGGGAAGAAGGGGAAGATGGACTCACCCTGTTCGGGACTCCTGCTGCCCTGAGTTCAGAGGCTGCAGTGAGAGCAAGGGCTCCGCGTCCTCACTGCCGCGGCAGGAACAGGGGGAGCTAACTCCCAGTGTTAGCTCTGCCCTCGGTGACTCAGCCTCACCCTGTGGAGTCCCCAAGCCTTCCGTCACCCGGCCTCTCGGTCTCAGGGTCTCCTCGCCTGTCCCTCCTCTGCCCCTGACCAGTGTCCGGGTGGTGCCCGCTGACGAGCCGATGGAGGCGGGGTGGTAGCAGACAGAGGGATGGTGTGGTATGGGCGATGATGGGTGGTCTCCCCACTGTGGCGGGTGGACTGGGCCGGGCCGGGGTGGGGTCACTTGCTCTTATGCAGGTCCTTCAGCTGGCGGAGCCTCTCCAGGAGCTGGGCCCGGGAGCAGCCATCATCGCCTGTGGGGCCAGGGCCTGGCCCCAGAGCCTCCTGCAGCACCGGGCAGTGTGTCCTTAGGAACGGGTTATAGGAGCGCTCCTCCCCCAGGGTGGACGGGCACTGTGGGAGGAGAGACACGGGCTTTGGTGGGGAGGATCTAGAAAATGGATCTGACCAGGAAAGCCTCCCCACCCCCTGCCCCATCCTAGGGTTCAGGTGTTCTCACTGGAAGGCCCTTGTGCCAAACAGGCCAGAGCTCTGGGGAGGGGCCTGCAGGGCCTGGCTCGGCAGAGATGGGATCCATCTGGGGAGTACCCTCGGCCCCTCCTGGACCCCAGCCCCGCACCGTGCTCTTGCGTTCCATCCGCTGCCTCTGCACCCACTGCATCTTCCTCTCCCGGGCCAGGTTCTCGGGCTCCACCACGCCTGCAAAGCCCAGGTTCTCCTCTGCATACTCGTGGCCTAAGGATGGCCATGGGGACCGAGACACGGGGCAGAGTGAGATGGGTTATGGTCAGGAAAAGTCCTCCCATCCCCACGCCGATAGGTACCTAACAACTGAGGAGGAAGGACAGTGCTTCCAGAAAAAGCCCAACCACAAGGAGCCGCTTCTGTAAACATGGGCACAAGTCAGCCATAAGTGATGCTGCAGAAGCAGTTGGGGAGGGGACCACAGACCTGGAGCCAGAAGACCTGCATTCTAGCGCTGCTGGTTCTGCCCAGCTGTGCAACCTCAGTCAAGTCATGGCACCTCTCTGAGCCAATGTTTTCTCCTTTGGCAAGTGGGGAAAATAATAATGCCATTAATGCCACTAGTTATGTGTCCCTGAGGCTGGGATCAGGACCTGGTGCACATTAGGTGCTCAACAATGTATTTGTTGAATGGAATGAATGGATGAATACATGTTCTGAGGATTGACTGAGATATTAGTGGATGTGTTTTAGAAACTACAGATATGCAATGTACCCAAGCACGTATGTATGGATGGATGGATATTCCACGTACATGCATATGGATGATGGGTGTGCAGTGTGGGTGTGATGGATGCAGGTAATGATCCATGCAGAGTGGATTTAAGTCACCTCATTAATCAAAGGCTCTTTTCTGTTCTAGACTCTGGCTATGAGAAATCAGCCATCCCACGGGGACACTCTGGGGCCTACAGGGCTCCTCAGAGGCTGTGGGCTGGCCGCCAGGGGCAGCCGACATAAGAGGCCTTACACAACCAGTGCTCTAGAAAGAAGGGGGTCTGCCCCCACTGCTAGAGATGGCTCCTAGGAGTCACCGGAGGTAGAGCTGGGTCACCTCTGGGCCAGGAACTGGGTTGGCTGGGACTCTGGGTGTGTGAGGGGCTGGGAAAAGATGGAGGGGCACCTCACCAGGCCACAGAAGAGTGTCATCCCCCAGCCCGAGCACGGTGTCCAGTGAGCTCAGCATGGTCTCTGCAGTACCCTCAAAGGTCCGTCCTGGTAGGGTCAGTGGGTATGTGTGAGGAACAAGGACCACACAGCATTGTGAGGTCGATGGAGAGGAGTGGGGACCCCCCATACAGCTGGGGCTGGCCACCAGCCCTCACCCATGCCCCTGCCATGCACATTCACCTGGCAATGACTCCCTCCCTCCCCCTGGGAGCTAGACCCAAACATTGGGCCCTAGCTGGGCCCGTCTGAGGGCACAGACTGACACGTGGTGGGAGAGGGGTGTGGAACCTCCAGGCTGAGTTCTGTGGCCCCAGGCCCACTCCAGGCAGAGTTGCGCTTTTCCACACAGCACCTCCTTCTTTGCCTGCGCTGCCTCTGGGACCCCACGCAGCCTGGGACCGGTGATCCCCCACCCACAGGATCACCCTGTCAGTCAGGGGTTCTCAGGCTTTTGTAACTGGTCTTGTCAGTCACTGTATCAGAGAACCCGGCTCCACCCAACGGAAACAAACGCTCTTCGAGGTCTGTGCTCAGTTACAGGCTTCGCCTCATTCCGTCCATCCCCTTTGGGACGTCGTGAGGATATGAAAGAAAAATCGAGGTAACAAAGGTGGTGGCAACTGCCGGGGCAGTGTGTGTGCTGAAACCAACATTTCCGCGCATGGCGTGGGGCAGGGCTGTCCTCGGGCCCCAGCCCTGGCCTCTCTCCCTCCCTCTCATTCCCGCCCCCCCTTCCCTTTTGGGGGACTCACCACAGCCAGAGAGGAAGAGCAGATCCCCTGAGAAGAGGCAGGAGGGACCCTCATAGGGCTCCCCGTCCAGCAGGTAGACCAGATGGCCTTGTGTGTGGCCCGGGGTGGCCAGAGCCCGGATCTGAAGCCGTCCCACGCTAACCACATCTTGATGACACAGGGGACTGAGGAGGGAGGCAACAGTGGAGCGAAGGCACTAGAGCTTGGGCCCTCCCTCCCCTGCCCGGCCCAGGCCCAAGGGGATAGGTGATGTGCAGGAGCGGGGCTTCCCCACCAGAGAGAGACGGGCCCCCTCAGTGCCCAGGGCTTCAGACTCAAGCCCTCCTGCTTCCTCTTTGGGGGACTATGGCTGGGTCAGTTGGGGGGTGGACAGTGCTAGGCTTCAGATGGGCTGTGATCTGCCCTTGAAGAGCCAGGAAGGGCACAGCAAAGACCCAATTGCTGATAGCCCTGAAACGGGTCACTGAAGGAGGAGGGTGAAGGGCAGGGCCATCCCCCGCCCCGGGTCACGGACTTACTGGGTGAGGTAGGGAATGCTGTCCTGAGGGCTCCCGTACACCCGACAGTCCTGGTGCCGCCGGCTGAGGTCGCGGTTCCCTCCACTGTGGTCCCTGCAGGATGGCACAGACAGGCAGGGGCTTTAAGGGGCAGCTGTACTGGGCCTCCCTGCCTCCCTCTTCCCCAAGCTTCTCCAGGGCTTTGAGCTCTGGGACTCCTGGCTTCTGGACTGAATCAAGCCATCCGCTCTACTTCAGACCTCTGTTCAAGCTGTCACCCTGCCCTCTAATTCCCCCACGTGGATCTGATCGTACCCACTCGGTGCCCCTGCCCCCAAACCCTGTGCTGGCTGCCACAGTTATTGTTTGTACACTTTCACACAGGGCTGTCTCCCCATGGGACTATAACCTCCCTGGATGAAAGCGATCACAAGGTTTGCCCATGCCCAGCAGACATGCCCATGGAACCAAAGATAAATGCCTGCTCTGCCCTCCTCTGGTGCTTCAGGAGCCTGGTAAGTGGAAGAGGGGGAGACCCGTCCCTCCCTCTTCTCCCTCCCACCGCTGGTGCCCCAGTGACTTCGTGAGGATGGTGCCCCCCTAGCCTGACCCCTGACCCGCAGCCCAGTCTGTTCTCATGGGTCCCAGTCCTGGAAAGCCCAGGAGGGCCATGGCCGGCCAAGGGAAGATGATCTGCACTCAGACCTCCCACCTCAGCCCCTTACCAGTGTTTGTGGGTGCAGAGAATGGCAACCAAGTTAACACCTTCCTTTTCAATGGAAGCCTGGGGGAGAGAGGAGGCAGTCAGACTGGGGATCGGGATGCTGGGTGGAGAGGAGAGCAGGGAGAGATGGGGGAGAGGGAGGCAACAGAGCCAGAGAATGGGAAGGGGGTGGGGAAGAGGCGGTTGGATAAAGGGGGGGGCACCTGAGCCCCAGCACAGGCATAGGGTGGAGGGAGACTGGCGGAGCAGGTGGACACACAGGTACATGCACACAGAGATGTAAGAAATGGAAGGAATGATGAAGAGACCTAAACACAACAGTCAGAGGTGAGAAAAGCAAGGTTCAGAGAGGGGGCCACAGAGAGGAAGAGGAGAAGGAAGCAGGCTAGACCCACAGCCCTGGGAGAGCACAGCTTTCCCTCCAGCTCCGACTCTCCCACTGCTGTCCTCCCCTCCTCCCCCGGCCACACCCGGGACGCTGGCCCGTCCCCAGTGGGTTACGTGTGTTTGCGGCGGTCAGGGTGCGCTGTGTGAGTACGCATGGCGGGGGCCCATCCCACCGGCAGGGAGCAGGGTCAGCCTCTCTCTGGCGAGGAGAAGCTGCCAGTCCCCCTGGTGAGCCCAGGTCCCCCCGCACTCGTCCTCCCCTCACCTGTACAGCCTGAGGGTCGGAAGGGTCCACAGCCACAGCTAGCCGGGCCTGGGTGTCGATGATGAGGTAGCTGTAGTTGTCCGCGAGGACAGGGATGGGGAGCACCTTCACTCCTGGGGAACAGAGATGTGGGTGGGGGACAGGGCAGGGAGCCCGTCCACTGGGGGAAAGAGATGGGGAGGGTAGGCAGGGGTGGGGGTGGGTGGGCACAGCCTGGGGCGGCCAGAGCTCACCATTGAAGAGGCGGGGCTGGGTTCTGGAGTGGCCTTTGGGGTAGCGGTTCCGAGCCCTGCGCAGCTGCTGGCGGTAGAAGAGGTACCCGAGCCAGGTGCGGGTGTACAGGCTGTACCTGCGGGGCGGGACGTCCGTGCTCAGCCCAGGCCCCACGTCTCCACGCCCTCGGTCACCCCCTGCGTCAGTGCAACGCCACCGCCACAGGTGCCGACCGTCTGCCTTGCTCAGTACTCAGGACAAGATGCAAAATGAAACCAACACACCCTGAGCTCAGAGCTCATCAGGCAAGATGTGAACTGAGGAATTCACAGAAGAGATCTGAGGATGAGGGCTTTGTTCAGTGAAGGCAGTTAGGCGTTAGGAAGCCGGAAGGAGGAGGGAACCCTATTTCAGGCAGGGCAGTGGCGCGTCGCAGTCACACGTGGGACCTACTGAAGGCCAGAATCCTCAGCCCCATCCCAGTGTTTTAAGTCTCAGCCAGTTTGAGTGGGCCCCAGGAATCTGCATTTCTAACAAGTTCCAGGTGATGTTGATGCTATTGGCCCAGGGACCACAAGGCTGAGAACCACTAGGGTCGAGGAAACAATAGGCCCAGGCCCAGAGGCAGCAGACAGCAGGGTTCACTTAGGGAAATTGTAGAAAGCTCTGCTTGGCTCTTTGGTGGAAGAAGCCGGCAGAACTGAGGCTGCATGGTTTGACCACACTCCCTCCCTCCACCTGCCACATTCCAGGCTACACAGTGAAAAGGGGGCACATGGAACAGAGGGGACTCATGAGTGACAGAGTCCCCCAACACAGGATGCTAGCACACGGGGTGGCTTCACAGATGTGCGACCCGGCAGTCACATAGGGCCCTACACTTGGCGTGACACTCTGCTGTCACCATCCTGAAATCCTTAATGATTTTCTCTTTGAACTTGTGTCTTCTAAGTGAAGTCTGATGGGACAACGGAACACGCACGTGAACAGAGGTGATGCACATATCATCACGTCACATCACATGTGTCTGCTCTGTCCCTGCTGTCCTGACCCTGCTACACACACCGTCTTCACCATCGCCATGAGCATAGAATTCTGGTGGACCCTCTATGTGTGGGAATTCAAGACCCAAGGAGAAGACAGGTGAGTGTACCTTTATGAGTAAAGGGCTGGAGGGCACTAGCTGACCTGTGAGCCACACTTTGGGTTCAAACTAGAATTTGCTTGTGGGATGTCCCTGGTAGTCCAGTGGTTAAGATTTTGCTTTCTTTCTTTCTTTTTTTAAGATTTTGCTTTCTAATGCAGGGGGTGTGAGTTCGATTCCTGGTTGGGAAGCAAAGATCCCATGCACCTCATGGCCAAAATACCAAATCACGAAATAGAAGCAATATTGTAACAAACTCAATAAAGACTTTTAAAATGATCCACATTAAAAAAAAAATCTTATAAAAAAAAGAATTTGCTTAAAATGCATCAAGAGGCAATGGTGTTCTAAGAGACACAAGGAACCCTACCACATCCTTTCTTATGTATAATCCCACCATTAATGCTGCAAATGATGCTGTTACAGAAAGGAAGGGAAAGAGGCGATGGATCTGTCCTTTTCCTTCCAGCTTTTCCTCATTGATCAGAAAGCTGAAAGCAGAGAAAGCTGGTAGAATGTGCTATGTATCAAGAAATGAAACAAAAACAGCTGAGTTAGGGCTGTTGCCACACTTCCACTGTTCTGGTAAGAACATAACACATATCTGTGTACAAGCTAAGAAATGTGAGTTATGTAGTTTCAGTGATCCCACGTATAAGTTAAATGTTCTTATTGTTGCTGTTGTTTATCCGCTAAGCCATGTCCAACTCTTTTGCGATCCCATGGACTGTAGCCCGCCAGGTTCCTCTGTCCATGGGATTTCCCAGTGAAGAATACTGGAGTGGGTAACCATTTCCTTCAGGGGATCTTCCTGACCCAGGGATTGAACTCTCGTCTCCTGCTTGGCAGGTGGATTCTTTTGCCACTGAACCACCTGGGAAGCCCCAAGTGTTCTTATATTTGTATTTAAAATTGACATTGCATGATATATAATGAACGGCACAATTCATGCTAATAGTTAACATTTTAAATATTCCCCTACTCAAATGATATTAAGTAGCAAATTAAAAACATCAAAGCAAGTCAAGAGAGAGATTGTAGAACAATATTTTTAATTGTAGAACAATATTCATAATTTCGTATCAGATGTGGCACTTCTTGCTTTTTGAGCAAGACGCTCCAAATGCCATTTTATACTGGGCCCTGTGAAGAATGAGCCGTCTTGGACCCTGGGCTCGCAGAAGAGTGACAGGATGGGCTGTGGGTGGGCTTGGTCAGTGTTTAGGTTTACACAGCAAGGCAGGGGGTAATGGGGGTGGGATTCTGGCTGATCAAGCCTGAGACAGAAAAGTTGAAGTTGGGATGCTGGATGAAGGATCCCAAGTCCCTACAGAGGTTTACTGTGTCTGTGGGGGGCAGGGGCAGGGGGAGGGCCCTTTGGGAAGGGCAAGCTGATCTGTCTGCAAGCACTTTGATCAAAACCAAGCATGTTTCCATGGAGAAGGCAATGGCACCCCACTTCAGTACTCTTGCCTGGAAAATCCCATGGACGGAGGAGCCTGGTAGGCTGCGGTCCATGGGGTCGCTAAGAGTCGGACATGACTGAGCGACTTCACTTTCACTTTTCACTTTCACGCATTGGAGAGGGAAATGGCAACCCACTCCAGTGTTCTTGCCTGGAGAATCCCAGGGGCGGGGGAACTTGGTGGGCTGCTGTCTATGGGGTCGCGCAGAGTCGGATGCGACTGATGCGATGCAGCAGCAGCAGCAGGCATGCTCCCGTAACGATTCGCTGAAGGTGAACCACTGCTGTCCCGGTTCTGTGTGCCTGGGCACTTATTTCCGTTGGGAAATTGGATGCGCTGTGGAGGGGTTCTACCATCCTTTAGGAGTCTTCATGTCTGTTTTTTATGGGCCCTGTTTTTGTTTTACTTTAAAATTAATTTTGAACACGTCCTACTCTCACTCATTCCACAATATTTAGTGAGGCCTTGCTATTTGCCCACTCTGGGCACACAGCGGGTAAAGCAGAGTCCTGGCCTTCTTGCAGCTTCTACTCTAGTGGGACAGAAGGGACAGTAAACATACTGTCAAGGGACTTCCCTGTGGTCCAGTGGTTAAGAATCCGCCTTGCAAAGCAGGGGACTCTGGTTTGATCCCTGGTTGGGGAACTAAGATCCCACATGCTATGGAGCAACTAGGCCCACAGGCCACAACAACCGAGTCCTCAACTGCAGTGAAAGATCCCACAAGATGCAATGAAGACCTCGTGCACCACAACTAAGACCCAAGGCAGCCAAATAAATAAATAAATAAATAAACATACTGTTCCCTAATAGCCCAGTTGGTAAGGAATCCGCCTGCAACGTGGGAGACCCTGGTTCGATTCCTGGGTCAGGAAGATCCGCTGGAGAAGGGATAGACTACCTGCTCCAGAATCCTTGGGCTTCCCTTGTGGCTCAGCTGGTAAAGAATCTGCCTGCAATGCAGGAGACCTGGGTTCAAACCCTGGATTGGGAAGATCCCCTGGCAGAAGGGAAAGGCTACCCACTGTAGTATTCTGGCCTGGAGAATTCCATGGACTGTATAGTCCATGGGGTTGCAAAGAGTCGGAGACGACTGAGTGACTTTCATATTCACTTTCACTGTCAAGAGATGACAAAATAAACAAGGCAAAAGGACAGAGAATGAGGACATAGAGCTGCTATTCTAGATCTGATGGTCAGTCATGGAAGGCCTCTTTGAGGAGGTGACATTTCCAAGAAGGAAAGATGACAGGACGTGTGAGAATCTGGGGAAGGCACACCAAGACCAGCTGAGTGCTGGCAGGAGCTGCTGATTCTTGCCTTTCTCCCTGCTGTGCCGTTGGGACAAAAAACAATCAGCACAGCACAGGTGGGACTGGTTGGATCAATCTAAATATCCTGGATTGGACTGCAGATCAGAAAAGGAATGTTAGGGAGACAATACACGGAATTTCACTGAAGTCTGGAGAGTGGTAATGCTTTGGATGGATGTTAATTTCTTGGTTTTGATGACTGTACCATGGTTATGGAAGATGTTAACATTTGGGGGAACTGAGAGAGGGGCTATATGGGAATTCTTTGCACAAATTTTGCAAATCTAAGATGATTTAAAAATGAAAAATTTTAAAATAATAAAGAAGAAAAGAAAACCACCCTTGCTTCTGTGCCCGGACACCACCTGGCATCTAGGCCCTCTTCCTGACTTCATTTCTTCCTATTTAGGCTTCCAGGAAGTGCAGGACCTCTGACAACAGTAAGCTCTGGGTTCTCATTACAGCTTGGGCCATCCTTGGTCTGAGACCTTGGGATAGTCAATGGTCTCACAGATCAGACTTCTCATCTATAAAATGGCGATACGACTTACCCCTGCAGGACTGTGTAAGGATTAAGTGACATAAAACAAGATGACAAATGTTAACATTCTCCAGGGCCTGAAGGGTGGAAGGTGTTTAGCCACTGCTGTTTCCTCCCCAAATTCAGCTGGACACCCTTCACAGCTTCTAGAACAAGGCCATGCACAATCTGGGAGGGACTGGTAAACATGCCCCGTCTTCCCTTATTGGATACTTGGTACACGTACTTTGTCCTCCAACAAAGATCAAGATGTACAAGGGCAGGGACTATGCAGTAAGAAGCTGCGATAAACAAGGCCCTGCTCTTCCACTGGCTTTAACCAGCAAATATTTACTGCACGTGCTGGACCGGGTACAGAAGGCAGAGAACAAGGCAGATGGCTCCCTGCCAACATAATGAGAGGAGCAGCCAACAGACACTGAACTGGAAAACAAAACAATCAACAAGCAAGCGGTGAACTGTGGTGGGAAAGGAAGACCACCATGGCAGACCAGGTGGTCGGGGAAGGCCCCTTCTCTGAGCACGACCCTTAAGCAGGTTCGACAGATGGGGGAGCCAGCAGTGCTGACTGACTGTGGGGGGCGCAGCACCAACACCCCTAAACAGGCACAAGTGGGGCACACTCGAGGAGCTGCCAAGAGGCCACGAAGTCTCTAGGCAGAGAAAGGGTCA